TCTTCTCTCCACCCTCCTTCGTGATGGCTCACTTCCTTGCTGAAGACTTGACTTTACGATCTCTTTCTCCTGTCATTGAGATTGCCATCTGGGACGTGGGTCTTGGACGAAGACTGATTCCTCTTGTAGACTTTGTTGGTTGTTTCGTCTTCTCTCATCTCGGAGATGATTGTAGCGGTGGTTGTGGTGGCAGAGAAGCTCTCGCTCATGTTGCATGTTTCTAAGAGCTAGAAGATAGGCTCAAAGAGTTCTTCGATGAAAGTTTGGTTTCAAAAATGGAAAGTCGGTTTCAAAAGCCTGTGATATAAGTTAGAAGGTTTTTGAACTCAACACAACAAATCGGAGGCAAAATATTAATTTAATTTAATATTTATATTATTAAAAGCTCTAATTAAATTCTTCCATTTTAAATTAACCTCAATTTAATCTTTTGTAAATAGTTGTGTGTTCCAAGTGACAAGTAAGAATAAAATCGATTTTAATTTACAAAATATAAAATGAAATTAAATAAATTATATAAATATTGGTATTATAGAAGTAATTTAACCAACAATTATGCAAAAAGTAATAAGAACCTATATACCACTTCTGCACTGAACCGAACTAAACAACATACACTAGAAAGAAAACCACTGATAAAACCTTATTTTTTTCTTCTTTGCTCTTTTTGGTTTTGCTTCGATGCTCTCTTTCGCGAAACGGTTTCAGCTTCGGCCACTGACGACGTCGTTTCTCCTTGGACAGCTCCGGTACGCCCGAACGCGGCCAAAGTCGCCACCGGTGGCACTGAGGAAGACGGAGGAGCGGTCGGAGTGGTGGGCGTTGGACGGCGAAATGCACGAGATCGGCGATCACGTGCCGCTACGTGAGCGCTTCGTGATTCCCCGAGAAAACATCCCCAACAAGCGCCGCAAGCAGCTCAGAGAACAATTCATGCGCCGAACACGCCTCGTTCTTAAGGAATCCGTTAGTTTTTTACTCTTTCTCTCGACTTTCTGTTATTTATTTTATAATTATATTTTGCTTAGGATAAAATAGTTTTGTTGAGAAGGATTGTGCAGCATTAGGATATTTGCAGAGTGTGTTACTCCATGTAGAGATTAAGACCGAGGTTTTGCTACTTTTTTTGTGTTTTGGTCTTTGCAAGATTTTTAGTTCTTACCCTCAATGTTTTAAATATTAGTCTCAATTCTGGTCGCAATTTTGTAATTGTGGACAGATACTGTGGTTGTAGAGACTTCAGAAGCCTTTGATGTTGCAGCCCAAGTCAGTGTTGTTTTAAAATGTAGGTTTAGAGTGTATTTGAGTTTTACTTCCGGAAACTGTTTTGTAATTTTTCAAATGCTACTAAACAAGTTGCTAGATATTTAGTGGAGGGTGGTGCAAGACACAAAGAAGGAGTGGAATCGAGGGAGAGGTTTAATTCGATGAAATTAGACCAAAAGTGAGAGAATATTTCTTAGCTGATTCTATTATTTTGTTTTCTGAACACTTGTTTTTGTTCTTTTGGAAGCAACGTGCAAAACTTAACAGATTTTGGATGAGAGATGGATTGCCAAGTTGTGTGACATTATTTTGGAAAAGTAGTTTTTAAAATCAACAGGTGAGAATTGAATCAAACAAACCCTTAGTTTCCTTATGAAGGGTTAAAAACTTGTGTAATGAAAAAAAAAATCATTTCATTCTGTTAAATGTAGTGACTAAAAATGAATAATTTTTTTTATAGGTATTAAAACAAGATATTGTGATATTTTCACAGACCATCAACGTATTTAAACCTAAGACATTGTTATCCCATTTGTATTTTTTTGTTTTTCAGTTTGAATTTTTATAATAAGAAGTTGCATTACATGGTTATTGCCTTGCTTAAGCGAAAATGTGATGGATATTATAATTCTGTTGCATTGTTGACTTGGTAGTTATTGTCAGTTTATGAATTTTTTATGAATAAGAAATGTAAAATTCAAAATCATGATTGTTGTCTAACTAGCTTGCGTTGTATTGAAAGGAGCATGATCCTTGGTGTAAAAGGTACATGGAACTGTATAATGAACTTAGAGAAAACTGGGAGAGGCTTTATTGGGATGAGGGTTACTCCAAAAAGCTTGCTCAGGATCATGCGAACTATGAGTCTGCTGAAGATGATGATAGGGATTTCTCCCCATACAGGTTTGCCTCCATTATTGATTCTTTCCTCTTTTCCTTTCTTGCCAAGACCTATGACTGCTTGTGTCTTGGAAAATGATATTTTTCTTGTACTGTCACTTGCATGAAGTTGAGGGCTGAACTGGTCATCTTGCTCAGTTTTATTGAAACAATTATTCTTTGAAGATTCTGAAGAGTCTATTTTTGTGTTGGCTATATTATTATGGTTCTGAATTTTCTGGTTCAAAATTTTGTGGGGGGTGGGGGAGATGCTGTCTAATATTTGTGTTTTCTGCTATATGGCATTTCAGGAGTAGAAGACCTCAGCCTCAGATGGATTATAGTAAGGTACAATGATATAAATATAGTATAGAAGTTGCCTTTTTTGTCTTGCTTTTGTATATATCTTTGATTCTAAGGATACTGTTCCACCATTAGTGAGCTATGCAGAATAAAGTGCCATCAGAAATAAATTGCATATTGCCATTTTGTATTACATAAAAAAATAAATTCTTTTGCCTATATTGAAGTTTTGCCGATTATTAGGCTTTGACTGTTGGAATTTCAACTCAAAAAGCCCTGCATGAGAGTTGAGGGATCTTATTTAACATAATCCATGATGGGAAAAGAATTATATAAATTATTGTTCTTGTTGGTATCCAGTTTTTGAGGAATGATACACAGGCCATCTTTATTTGTGTTAACTGGGACAAATTCCCCTGTGATATTAAAACACAGTAATTATCTTCTCCCATTTTAGATATATTTGTTTGAGATAGCTGTAATCATTAAGATTGAAATGTTTAGTATACGTTTATGATACTGTCTCTCTGATTATTGGATTCTCATTCAGGACCAGACTTTTGGAAGAAACAGACAACCTGATAACTTGGAGAAAGTTAGCGTTCTTCGGGATAAATTTGAGTATGACCGAGAGAGAAGAATGAGAGAAAAAGGTTAGTTTCTAGACACACCATTCTGAAGTCTAGTAATCCTCAATGAAATATTCTTGTGAAATTTTTGAAAATGGCAAACGTATTATACAGTAGCACTGGTATCTTTTACCTCATCATGGTGCAGAACCATTCTATTTCTTGATTTTTTAATGTTGAACATGCTGAGAGACTAACTAGCCAGTGTGCCTGAGTATACTCTGTATGTGAGTTTTCAGCTAGCTCAGTCAGTGGGTTGAGTTTAATGGGGATGTTTTGCTAAATGTGCCATAAATCAAGTTAATGCCAATCCTTAACGGAATCTAGTAGAAGACAGAAGTATCTCATAAACAACTCGACTCCTGTTTACCAGCCTGTAAATTGAGCTTTAGGTTTTTTGTCTGATAGTTGATTATGTTTTGTTCTCCTTCTGATGAGGATCAACCAAGGAACACGGACTTTGATGCACAACAAGGATTTGGTGGACCAATAACAAAGGCAAGTGCTAAGAAAAGCCAATGAAGCCCGAATTGGTTCAAATTCACATATGGAAGACTTGAAGCCCAAACTACTTAATTCAATTTGAGGAATAAAGATGATGGATGGACTGATTTACAGGACAAGACCCGTTTTCTATTTTTGCTTTGCATTTTTATTTATTCCAATGTAATAGTTTCATATGGATTTTGATGTGTTTTGGGTCAGTTTTATTTGTTTATTCCAATGTAATAGTGTTCAGTGGGGCTTTTATTCTGGTGGATAGTGGGAATTAGTTCCTATTGGATATTTAATTTAGTGGGAATTAATTATTCACTAGAATAAAACCCCACTAACTATTATAATGGTTCATGAAGCATGTGGGAAAAAAAAAAGAACTGACCCAAAACATACCAAAAGCCATGAAATAATTACATACAAAATTTCAAAGGAAAAATAGAAAATGGACTGTCTTGCAAATCAGTCCATCCATCATCTTTATTCCTCAAGTTTGATTAAGTAGTTGACCAATTTAGTCTTCAATTCTTCTATATGTGAATTTGAACCAATGTGGATTTATTTGCTTTCTTAGTACTTTTTCCCTCGTCATTGGTCTACCAAGTCCTAGTAGCGCTTTAAGGTCCCAGTTCCTTGGTTGATGCTCACCACTTTAGCCTTTATTTTTAATTTAAGAGAAGCTGGTCAATATGAGAAAAATCATCTCTATGAACATGCTTAAATCTCTTTCTTGGTATTCTAATTGTCAATAGCAATTTAGAGACCAAAAATAGTTTTCTATATAATTCTTTTTCTGAAACAATCATATCATTTGTGCTTCAAATTTTGTACTGGAGGAGCAATTCAAGTGAATACCACTATCCAATATATTCTTATGTTTGTACATAGCAGTGATGTCAGTGTGTTTTACAAACCTATTTCACCCTTTTATATATGCTGTAAATCCTCAGTCATCAAATTTTAAATCTAGCAATTGGTAACGAAGAAATTATTCTTTCAATCACGTATTTTAACTATCGCTCGAAGAAATGACCATGTGATGTGTGAAAAATCTAAAGCAAACTATTTTCTGCTTGAGTTGCAAATTTTGTTCTGTTGGTTGTTAGATTCAATTTTATCAGTATTTTTCTCTTTATACATAAATACTTCACTTATCATTTATCACTATCTACTTCATGGCAGCATTTGCACCCATGCATGGAGGATCTGTTCCTGACTCTCGTGATTCTAACCGTTGGAACCAACCGCTAGATACTGATCGATATTTTAGCCAAACAGAAAGGCGTTGAAAGAACAATATTGTAAGGGATAGTGTAGTTTTTCTCCCACTATCGATATTTTAGCCAAACAGAAAGGCGTTGAAAGAACAATATTGTAAGGGATAGTGTAGTTTTTCTCTCACTATCAATATTTTAGCCAAACAGAAAGGCGTTGAAAGAACAATATTGTAAGGGATAGTGTAGTTTTTCTCCCACTAACTCAATGCTATATATGATGCTGCCAATATAACTAGTTCCAGGAAGTGTTTACAGTCAGGAAAACGTTTTTTTTTTGGTATAAAGCTCATGTAGGAGTTGTGCTCTGAACAGATGTAATGTATTAATGCACTGATATTTACCCTGCACTTCTGTGTCTCTCAAAGTTTTGACTCTAAGAAGGTTATAGAAAATTGGAAGTAGCATGAAATGAACCTGGTGAAATTTTTTATCTGATAAACTGATTTAATCTGTATATATTTTCTTTTTGCACACCTCTCTGTTGGCTTAATTGATAAAACGTGCATACTGCACAATCCTCTTCCTGGTGATGTTGGTGATTATTTACTTTTTATGGTTTAGTATGCACCTTAAATTTTATAATTTAGTTAATGCATCTTTTTTTTCTAATAATTATGTTCGTTCAGTCTATAAGTGATAATAAGAGTTGTATCATTCATACAACTGATAACAATTTATACAATACTTTTTCTGATTTTCGTTTTTCTCTCTTGCTGTTGTACAGAGTACCCACTCTATTGACAATAGTGATCTTGGATTGGATCACATGGATTGAAAACTAAACAAACACATAAATGGCTATTGCTTCTTGCACCCTCACACTAGTAGAAAAAGACTAAATTACCCTTTATCATTTCACCACACTATCACTTCCACATTTTCACCGTTGTCCCTTTCATCATCCTCACTATTGCAGAGGAAGAAGAAAAAAAGGAGAACGTTTTAGAGGAAGAAGAAAAAAGTTTCAAAAAAAGAAGAAAAAAAGCTTATTTCGAAAAACTTTCTAAAATGTATTTCATATTCCGAAAACTTGTTTAGTAGTATTATATGTATTTTGGAAAATTTATTCCAGCAATCTTATTTTTGAATGCAAATCATTCGTTTAGAAAATTTTATTCTAATTCTTTTCAAAGAAATTTTAGAAAACTTATTTTGAAAATTTTCGGAATATTTTGAAAATTTTCGGAACATATAATCTAGAAAACAAATTTGTTTATTTTGTTAAACAAACCTTTTTAAAATAAATACAAACAAACAGGATCCTCATAGGTTTAATGGTATACCTCATCACTCAATTATCATTACTTTACGATTTTTTTTTTCACAAATTTTATTATCAATTTGTTTAATTTTCGCATATTAAAAGTCTACTTAAGTAAGGACATATAATAAAACATAGTAGGAAAAACAAAGTAAAGTCAAAATGATAACGTCTATGAAAAGAATAGTGATAAAATGATATTGTTTTAGTTTTAGATTTTAAACATTTTTTACACGTTATCATTCTCTTAGAAATCTAACGAATTAGTAAGATACACAGCAACAAAGAGTTGATGGTAAAATATGAAACGAAAAAACAAGAAACATAAAGTTTGTAGAAGAATAATAGTTCAGTTATAAAATATATCAGTAGACTATATTGTATGACTGAACCAAGATTAGGTTTGTTTGAATAAAATTTTCTTAGAATAGTCTAATTAAATGATTAGAAACTTATGAAAAATACTAACCACTATAATTGATTCATTTATCTTAGGGATGTTATTTGAAATGTTGTTGTTAATAATAAGAAATAAGATGAAGTATTAATAATGTATTAAGAAAAATCAGACATTTAATTTAAGTTTATCTAAGTAAAAACTTATTAAAGTGTTATGAATAAGATAAGAATCTATAATATTTAAGGTTCATATATTAGAGGAGGGATTATGAGAGAATATTTAAAGAAAGTGCATTTGGAGTAATAGAAGAAAAACATGAATGAAAGAGATGGTATTAGTTTTGTGAAATTATTTGTCATTTTAAGAATACTAGACGTTTATTAGCTAAACTCAAGAAAGAGTTACTAGATACGACGAAGAGTACGAAAATTATAACGCCTCATACTCGTTAAAGAAGAGTCTAAAATGATGAATTATTCACGGTTGGTTCCACCTAAAGGACTAAGAGAATGAAGATGTTTAGTGGAGCACTAGGCGAGATGAATTCATCCAACAGGAGGGATTAGATGAGTATGATGTTGGACGAGGTGATACTTTGAGACAAGCATACGTGTTTAAGTTGGCGCGAGTGTTTTGTGTTTAGTGAATGTGGATGGATGCTAAGTGTATTTTGTGTTGAGTCTTTTGAGGAGGAGGTGGAAGACACAATACCAATGAGATATGAGTCCAACTATATAAGGGATTGACACCACTCTCTACCAAAATCCTTAAGACAATAGGTTAATGGGTCTTTCACCTTTATATAATGTTTTACTTTCTCATTTTTATCCAATGTAAGACTTGGACTCACATGGATTCCCAACATAATTATATTTTTTATTGATATATTTGGTCAGTCGTGATATTTGTTAGGTGCAGTTATTATTCTGCGAATCCGATTGAATAGTTAAGTTTATAGATATGCTTCTAGTTATTATTTTATTTGTAAAACGGTCTTTGGTCTTTGGAATTTTACCTGTATTAAAAGCCATCAATATTGAATATAAAGAGCAGACTCAATTTTACGGAAAACATTAGAGTGTGTGCAAGACAATTTTTAACAAAGTGGTATTAGACCTTTATGCTCTGAGTACCAAGAGAAAAAATAAGAGAGAAAGGAGAGTCAAACACTGTGAGGGAAAAAAGTGAGTGTTTGAGTTTTTTTGAGAGAGATCACAAAGATAGTCAACAGAATAAGTATGCCACAATTGTCAAAAAATATCAATTACAACAATTGGTCTTTGCAGATGAAGGTTCTTCTTGAATCTCAAGATGTATGGGACATAGTGAAGAACGGGTATAATGAACCGCGGATGATGAGCATCAAACAGTGAACCAGACTGTTGTATTGAAAAAGACACCAGTGAAAGACAGTCCGACTTTATACTTTCTGTATAATGCAATGGATGAGAAAATAGCTAATGCAAAGTCAACAAAAGAAGCATGAGAAATTCTGAAGGTGACATACAAAGGAGATATCTGCGTGAAGCAGATCCGAGTACAAGCTCTGAGAAGAGAGTTAGAACATATGGAGATGGATGAAAAGGAGGGAGTTGCCGAGTTTATAGCTCGAGTGCAAAAGATGGTCAACCAACTCGGAATGAGTGGAGAAGAGATTCCTCTTAACCGGGTTGTGGAAAAGATCTTGAGAAATCTGACGAATGATTTTGAAAGTATCATGGTCACTATTGAAGAGATAAAGGATTTGTCAAGTTCACTATGGAGGAGTTAACTGGGTCATTAAAAGCCCATGAATTGAGGAAGAAGAAGAAAAAGAGGGAACCCGATGATCAAGCACTATAAGCATAGTTTGACTCGAATGGAACTCTAAATACTCAGAGCCGAGGTCCTGGAGGCCGAGGACGAAGAGGCTGAGGACGAGGTGGACGTGGCCGATGTAATTTTGATAATGATAGTGAAGAGAAAACCGGTCAGCATAATTGACGTGGCCGAGGACAAGGGAAAGGCCGAGGAGATCGGTCAGGAGTGAAGTGTTTTAAGTGTGGCAATCTTGGTCATTATGCAAACGAATGTAGATCAAGAAAGTGCTACAATTGTGGTAAGTCCGGTCACATTAAGTTTTGTCGAGCTAAGAAGAAAAGTGAGAGAAACATTCTTATGGAAGAAGAAGATGAAGAAGAGATGGTGATTCTGTTGATGTCAAAGATTTCAAGTTAAAGGTGGAGAATTTGGATGTTGGACCATGCTTGAAATCAAAGGCTCGGGAGTTTTCTACTGACTCAGTATGATATTTAGATACTGGAGCAAGTAACCACATGTGTAGAAATGAGAACTTTTTTTATAAATTCACCAAGGTGGAGGCCAAATTTGTGTCTTTCGGAGATGACTCCAAGGTGGCCGTGAATTGGTGTGAAACAGTCCGGCATATGTAGAAGGATGGACGAGTTGAAGACATTATGGACGTTTATTATGTTCCTGAGCTAAAGAGCAATGTTTTAAGCATGGGTCAGATAATTGAAAAAGGTAATTCAGTTTTTATGAAAGACCAGGTACTATATCTAAAGGATAAGCATGATCGTCTAACAGC